TTACTTAGGAAAATGAACCCAAAAACCATTTTGTAAGTTGGGAAAGCTAAACCCTATAGGGTTTAGGGTTTGCATGTTACGACGAAGTTACGACGATTTCTTAATAATCGTCGTAAATTCGTCGTAAAAGTCAACATATGTTCAAGTCAACACATAAACAAATTTTCAATCTTCATATTATAGAGGTATGGTGGATCACTTGATAAATTTTCTAACCGGGTCCCCAAGAAATGAAAACAAGAAGCTTATATAAACAAAAATTTAAATTTGACAAATGTTACAGTGAAACGTTCAAATCATGCGTGTACGAACCTTTGGAGCAAAGTAATAAGACGTGAAATGAGAAATCTCTTCTGTCAGACTTCCCGCCACGATAGACCCTTCAACTTTTGCTAAGTTTTTGGCCTTACCCTTCAAATGCTTCATAAATCGTTCAAACGGATACATCCACCTAAACTGAACAGGTCCTCCCAACTCTGCTTCATGAGGGAGGTGTACAGGTAAATGTTCCATAACATCGAAGAAAGCAGGTGGGAATATTTTCTCTAAATTGCACAACAATATTGGAATATTTGTAGACAGTTGTGCAACTACATCTTCTGATAATGTCCTTGTACTTAGATCACGGAAGAAAGCTCCAATGCCTCCTAGTGCCTCATGGACATGTCCCGGTAGGAGTTCAGCAAACGCAAAAGGAAGTAACCGTTGCATAAACACATGACAATCATGACTTTTCATCCCTGAAAACTTTTGTCCTTTATCCACAGATTTAGCCAGATTAGATACATATCCATCAGGAAATTTCACGGCTGATGATACCCAATTAAACAAAGCTGTTTTTTGTTCAGCACCCAACCGAAATACAGGAACAGGTGCTTTCCCATTACTCACCATATGCAACTCAATTCTGTTACATATATCGGGTAAGTCCATCCGTGATTTAACGCTGTCTTTGGTTCTTCCTTGGACGTTCAAAACAGTATGCATGATGTTATCGAAAAAATTCTTCTCAATGTGCATAACATCAAGATTATGTCTAAGCAAATGATCTTTCCAGTAAGGCAGATCCCAAAATATACTTTTCTTGTGCCAATTATGATGAACCCCATATCCGTCAGGCATATTCGCAGGAGTGTGCCAATTTCCTCCAAGGGGGACCGTTTCAAGTCCACCCCAATGATCTATTTGCGCTTCAAGCTCTACTCCAGTTAGGTACACTGGTGGAGGGAGACGAACCAATTTGTTCTTTATAAACAAACGCCTATTTCTTCTATATTGATGGTTTGGTGGTAAAAACCGACGGTGGCAATCAAACCAACAGGTTTTCCTACCATGTTTAAGCTGAAATGCATCAGTCCTATGAAGACAATAAGGACATGATAACCTCCCATGCGTTGTCCAACCTGATAGCATTCCGTATGCCGGGAAATCGCTTATTGTCCACATAAGCACCGCTCGCATCGTAAAATTTTTACCACTCGAACAATCATATGTTCGTACTCCAACATGCCACAACTGGTTTAACTCATGTATGAGTGGTTGCAAAAACACATCAAGTGCCCGCTTCGGGTGATTTGGACCAGGGACTAATATACTTAGAAACAAAAACTCTCTTTGCATGCACATATCTAGAGGAAGGTTATATGGCGTAAGAATCACAGGCCATAATGAATATTGCCTACCAGACATACCAAATGGACTAAACCCGTCAGTGCAAAGACCAAGATAAACATTTCGCTTAGACCTAGCAAAGTCTGGATGTACGGTGTTAAAATGTTTCCAAGATTTCCCGTCAGACGGGTGAGTCATTTTGCCATCTGTTTGTGAATGTTCTGCATGCCATCTCATCGACGCAGCTGTCCGTTCGGATTGATATAGTCTTTTTAACCTATCAGTGATAGGAAGATACCACATTCGTTGGTAAGGAATCTTCTTACGCCCAGCAATTTGTGGTCTATATCTTGGCTTTGGCAGAAACGACATTCTTCAAGCTTCTCATCATCTCTCCAAAAAGCATACAATTATCAACACAAACATCAATCATCTCAGAAGGCAATCCAAGACTAAAAACCAGCTTCTGAATTTCATAATACGTTTCAGCAGCCAAATTATCATCTGGCAAATACTCTTTAATAAGATCTGCCCAATCGTTCATGCAAACTTCAGATAGATTGTGATCTGTTTTTATTGTCATCATCCGAGCTGCCAATGATAATTTTGATAAACCTTCCCTACATCCCTCGTACAGAGGCTGCTTTGCTGCGTTTAACATATCATAAAAGCGTTTCGCATCTGCATTGGGCTCCTCAACAGTATCAGCATGTGTTTCATGAAATGCATCAGTAATCATTTCATGCATCCTATCATGATCTTCACCCTGAACTTGACTACTTTGATAATCATTGGACGCTACAAAATCCACATGTTCTTGATGATTACTAGTACTCCGTGCAGCCATCTGACCACTACTTTGACCATATCCCTCTCCATGCTGATACCAAATAAAGTATTGGGGCATGAACCCTCTATTCAATAAATGCTGCCAGACAGTGTCAATAAGAATATGTTTCCTATTTTTGCATTTCACACAAGGACAATACATTTTGCCGCTTTCAATTACAGTTTCCAGAAGGCCGGCTTGGTACATGAATATTTCCAATCCGTTTTTGAAGTCTTCAGTCAACGACCCATCACCATTTTTGGGCGTATACATCCACTTTCGTAGATCGTATATAGACATTATATTTCAAAAACAAATATTTGACTTTTTGTTTCTGAAATTTGATAGAAATTTCAACTACTAAAAATTTTACTTAAACATTCAAAGACTCAAAAAATTTGTGTCTTTATATGTTTTTTTGGGTTGATGGAATAATGAGAGAAGAAGAGGTATATATAGAATTTTTTGTTTGGTTACCAACATATTACCATTGCATTTTTACATGAAATTTACGTCGAAATAAAATTTACATCACATTTACATTGATTTTACGTCAATTACAAGATAGAGGACAATTCGTCGTATTATCGATGTAAATATTACGACAAGATTACGACGAAATAAAATTCGTCGTAATCTTGTCGTAATATCGTCGTAACATTACGACGATTTTACGAGGGTTATTTTTTACGTCGAATTTACGACGAAATTTTTGATCGTCGTAAATACGACGTAATGTCGTCGTAAATTTACGACGACTACGAATCGTCGTAATAATTCGACGGAAAAGCCCCTCTTTCTTGTAGTGAGTTTGTTTCCTTATTTTTCATAGTAATCAAGACAAAGAATTGTTTGCTTACCCAATTTTTCAAAAAGCGATTAACAATTATTTCCGTATTTTGTTTGTTACTTAGGAAGCCCGGTGGAAGACCCATCTTTTTGCTTACCCAACGAGATGGTGTTTCTATATTTATTTTATTCAGGCCAATGAAAAGAAACTGATAAAAAAAATGCCCCTTTCATTTTTTTTTTAAAAGAACTTTATTTAGATGCTGTAGGCGGATGTTTTTCTTTTCTTAGGTAAGCACGGCGTCAACATAGATAAAACGGCGATTAGGTTTGGAATGAAAATAAACTATTGGGGGGTTTGGATTCTTAAAGGAAGGAAAACGGAGGGAAGGTAACAAAAGAGTTGTTGCATGGTTGAACTTAAATGATGTCAACACAAACAAATACTAATAAATAAAATATTTATTTTAAATAAATAGAGAAAGTAAGTCAAAATCTCAACTGGTTAGACTTTGGATGCGCTAGTTACGAACTTACGATACATTCACACATATCCTCCCGCCAATAAGTCAACTCCTCACATTTAATGAATCTTTTCAAAGTCAATCCATGTGACTTGATAATAACTCACCCATCATTGTGATATAAATCATTTTGAACTTTTCTTGTATATGAATGCAAAAATTATACTAATATCCAAAAAGACATTATCATTTCTATAGGAGAAGACTAGATAGTTTGGTCTCGTTTAGTTCAAAAAATTTAATTATGTTTTGTTTAAATTAGTTTCTATCAAAAGTATACTTTAACGTATAGTATAAATATTCAACCAAACTACATTGTAGACTAATTTGATTGTAGTTCGGTCTAATTGGTATATGTACGGTTTTAAATTTGAAGTCGAATTCATTTTTACTTGTTCCACCTTTGGACACCCTATGAATAATTTTTGTTTGTTTGTTTGAGAAGTAAAATTTGATGTTGTGTTCAAATTATATTTATATGCGAACCTAATATGCAATTTCATGCATCAAACTCATTTTATGTTGACATAACGCATGCCTGTATCATCCATGGTCCAGAAGTTTTAATTGGTGTAAATAAGATTGCAAGTTGCAGCTACAGCTCTCTGAAAAGAAAGCTGCGACTTGAGAGAGATTCAACGGCCTGACAGGTAAATGGAGAGAAACTAATGAAGAGCTTGAATCTTTTGACCCTCTAAGATTTGGTGCGACTTTTGTCCTAACTCCATTCCATTTAACACCTAATCTTCTAGATTTCCCTTGTCAATTTGTAAGGCATTTCATAAATTTGTGTATGCAAACATGTTTTCGGATTCAGGCGCGCCTGGGTCGATCACATTTGGACAGCCTTGCCTACTGTTTACATAATCTCTCGTTTGTATGAAATCTAAAATAAACATAAAGAAAAATACAAGAAAAATAGTTCACATACTATTTATTTAATTAGTTTGTCTTTTGCTAATTAGCTGCCACATACGGCTGGCCAAATCGCGATCAAGAAAATTCGTAAAAACCATAGGCAAATATAAATTAATAAACACCTTGAAACATACTATCAAGTTAACCATTACCTATGTATGTATACACTTATAAACACATACTGACTCTGACACATGCTTAGTGCGTGCAATAATTTGTCTTTACTCAAGATTTTATTTAAAATAATTTGGTTTTAGCGCATTGTACAACTGGTCCATTTGCGTCTAGCGGGTAATGGTTAATGGTTGGTATGATGATAACATTTCCTCCTGATATTTCCCACCAGGCAACCATATCTTTCTCATATCACAACTTCAAATATTTAATTATTTGTCCCACGACATCGACGCCGTTTAATATTGTTTTCTTTCATATTATATTACCGGCAAAACATATTTTATCCCGTTTATCATTATACTAATGTTTATATACCTATCTGCGTCTCTCTATATATATTTTCAAGTGAGATGATGCCATGGACTCTCTCTTTCTCTCTGCATGAACGAATTCACAAACATCACAATCTCTTTCCATTTCCGTGAACTAAAAACCTCTTTCTCTTTCTCTCTGTTTCTTTCAAATTTCCAAAAATGGAAGGTTTAAGTTTAAGCTCACGCGTGACTCGTTTTCTCTTGCTGTTCGTTTTCTTAGTTTGTTCTCATAATTGGCATCGAGTCCACGCGAGCGAACCGGTTCTAGAGCTAATGAAAGGCTTCGAGGCTAAACCGGACTCGTCAGTCGAGTTGTTCCAGCCACTCCTCACTGACCCGAGCGGAAACTTTACCTTCGGATTCTTACGAGTAAACAGGTCACGCCTCTCCCTCGCCGTAACCCACCCGAACTTAACGGATCCACTCTGGGTTTTCGACCCGACCCGTTCAGCCAGCTGGTCGCATAAGACGAAACTCATCTTCAATGGCAGCCTCGTCATTTCCGATCCTTCTTCGAGGGTAGAATGGTCAACTCATACCAATGGAGACCGACTCGTTCTACGTAACGACTCGAATCTCCAGGTGGTGAAATCGTCGTCCGTAGAGTGGGAGAGTTTTGATTTTCCAAGAAACACCCTTGTGGAGAACCAGAATTTCACATCTGCCATGGCTTTGGTTTCACCCAACGGCTTGTATTCGATGCGTTTAGGCAGGGATTTTATCGGATTATACTCTAAAGTCAGCGAAGATTCTCAACAGTTTTACTGGAAACACAGTGCTCTTCAAGCCAAGGCCAAAGTCAAAGACGGATCGGGTCCGATTCTCGCCCGGATCAACCCGAATGGATATCTCGGTATGTACCAAATCGGAAACACTCCAATCGACGTCGAAGCTTTCAACAGTTTTCAACGGCCGGTCAACGGTCTTCTAATTCTCCGATTAGAATCAGACGGAAATCTCCGGGGATATCTCTGGGATGGATCTCAATGGGCATTGAACTACGAAGCCATCCGCGAAACTTGCGATCTCCCGAATCCATGTGGTCCATACAGTCTCTGCACGCCTGGGTCGGGATGCTCGTGTCTTGACAACGGCACGGCGGTGAACGGAGAGTGTACTCACGTCTCGACTTCGGAGCCGGCGGATTTTTGCGGCGGCGATGAGAAGGTCAAGTTTAAAGTGGTGAGACGTGGAGGCGTTGAAGTGCCGTTTAAGGAATTGATGGATCACAAAACGATGTCGTCTTTGGGAGAGTGTGAGGGGATGTGTGTTGAGGATTGTAAGTGTTTCGGGTCGGTTTATAATAACGGGTCCGGGTTTTGTTATTTAATTAATTACCCGATCCAGACGATGCTGGGCGTTGCGGATGCGAGTAAAGTGGGTTATTTTAAGATACATGAGAGTGTAGGAAAGAAAAAAAGTCGAGTGGGGTTGACGGTTGGGATATCTGTGCTCGCTGTGCTTGCGTTGGTTTTAACGGTGGCGATGCTTTTTGTTGCGTTTAGGATTTGGAGTAGAGAAAAACGGGTACTTGAGGAAGATGGTGGGTTATCACCCGGCCCGTATAAAAATCTCGGGTCGGATAGTTTTAGATCCGTTGAAATGAGCCGTAGGTGATAGCTTTTTAGTTTCTTCTCATAATCCTTTTTTTTTCTTTTTTTCTCCGGAGGTACTTATTACACATATATAAAAAGATAACTCTTTTTTTTTGGTTTGTGCTTTTTGCAATGTCACCATTATTTTACTGATGAGTGTTTTCACCTAACAAAAAAAATAATTATTCTGAAGTTAAATTGTATGGTTTTGGCAAATATTTGTTTTTGGAATTTGGAAATACACTAAAAATTATTTATCCGAAAAAAATGTGAATCGATTGATATATTTTTTTGTTTTCGTCGACAAACCGTTGATATAATCGATTGATACAACGGAAAAGTATATGGATAAATCAAAGTATATGATGGCGTAGGCGGGAAAATAAATTAAAAAGAATATAAAAAATATTGTAATATTGTAATGTCGTCATGGATGACGCTAACAAGTGTAGATGGTGGACTCTCCTTTAGGCCCACATGTTTGAGACTTCCACTCTCCTATTTTTATAATCTTCTTTGTTATTAAATTTAATATATCTAATAATTCAATATTATTACTTTTAGTTTTAATATTCTGATCAACATGCGGGGATAAGTTCACGTGCTTCACGGCCGCAACCACCAGAATTTATCCGAGTTCCATAATTTTTGTTATTATTCTCCAGTCAAACATACAATTTGTATTTTATCATTTTTTGTCGTATATTTTATCATTTACATGTCAGTATGTGACTACACATATACTTATTACTTAAGCAGATGCTAAAACTGAAAGGAAATATTTTGGTCCATCTACAGAAGCTTAAAATACACAAATCGTTGGAATTTTATTTATAGAACTATATTCCATTGCAATATAGGATTTAAAAAAATAGAAAAAAATAGAAAAGAAAAAAAAATAGAAAACTACAATATCACAGGCGAAGCGATATTTTCTATTGGTCATTGGAGTTGCAAGCGACAATTTCGACGGGCCTCTCGTAAACTCCATTTTCCTCGCCGTATGCGTCTCCAACGCAGCCTTTTACTATTTAAAGCCCAAAGGCCCATTCCATTCCTCAATTTTAAATCGGTCTCATCTCTCTCTCTCTCTCTCTCTCTCTCTCTCTCACATTCACAATCGGAACGATCTTTTCCGTCGCCGTCGCCGCCGCTTCTTTTTGTGTACACAATGTCGTGCTTCAAATCCAAATTCGCCGGTAAATGTCACCAACACCTCATTGTTGATCCTTCGATTTATCCGGTTTCATTCGTCTTTCGTAGTTCGAATTTGGAATCACCGTTATTTAAATATTTCGATCCACCGATTCGTTGATCGTCCGGCATTTTACTTGTTATGATTGCGGATAGTTTACTTGAATTGATTCTCTGCGCCTCTCGTCAATCGTGATTCTCTGTCGAAATTTCGTCTCTTACTGTCACAAATTGTTTCGATCATAGCTCGAGGGCTGTTCAATCCCTAAATCAATTTCATCTAAATCTGGTCATTTCGTATTTTTCTCGACAGATGAGCTCATCGCCAATGCCGCTTACATCGGTACTCCAGGGAAAGGTATTCTCGCGGCAGATGAATCCACAGGGACAATCGGAAAACGTTTCGCAAGCATCAACGTGGAGAACGTTGAATCAAACAGACGTGCTCTCCGTGAACTCTTGTTCACCACTCCCGGAGCTCTCCAATACATCAGTGGTATCATCCTCTTCGAGGAAACACTCTACCAGAAAACAGCTTCAGGTAATACTCAATAAAAGAACCTTTTTCTAATGCTTTCTTGTGGTCTGATATCAAGTTAATGATTTGTGTATACCCTTTTGATCATTGAAGTTCTTGAATTATGCTACAGGGAAACCATTTGTTGATGTAATGAAAGAAGCTGGAGTGCTTCCAGGTATCAAAGTCGACAAAGGAACCGTCGAGATCGCTGGTACAGACGGCGAAACCACAACCATTGGCCTCGACGGACTCGGAGACCGTTGCAAGAAATACTACGAAGCCGGTGCACGTTTCGCCAAGTGGCGTGCCGTTCTCAAAATCGGAGCCAACGAGCCTTCCGAGTTATCCATCCACGAGAACGCTTACGGTCTAGCGAGATACGCAGTCATTTGCCAAGAGAACGGTCTCGTCCCCATTGTCGAACCAGAGATCCTTGTCGACGGATCTCACGATATTGAGAAATGTGCTTACGTCACAGAACGAGTCCTCGCAGCTTGTTACAAGGCTCTTAATGATCACCATGTGATCTTAGAAGGAACACTCTTAAAACCGAACATGGTAACTCCAGGCTCCGACTGTAGCTCCAGGGCTAAACCAGAGGTGATCGCAGAGCATACAGTCCGTGCTTTACAACGGACTGTCCCTGCCGCGGTTCCAGCCGTTGTGTTCTTGTCTGGAGGACAGAGTGAGGAAGAAGCAACTGTGAACTTAAACGCCATTAATCAGCTCAAAGGTAAGAAACCATGGAGCTTGACGTTTTCGTATGGACGTGCGCTTCAGCAGAGTACGCTCAAGGCTTGGGGAGGTAAAGAGGAGAATGTTGAAAAGGCTCAAAACGCGTTCTTGGCTCGAGCCAAGGCGAACTCTGAGGCAACGATTGGTGCCTACAAGGGTGATGCTCAGCTCGGTGAAGGTGCTTCCGAGAGCCTTCACGTCAAAGACTACAAATACTAAAAGGTCTCCTTGGTTATTTCCATATATTTTTGCTGATTTGGTTATTTATGTGGATATCGGTGTAATTATTTGTTTTTTGTTTTTTTATTGGGGGTATGTGATATTAGCCTGGGATATAAGTTCGTTTTTCTTTTCTCATGGGGAAATTTTGTTGTAATAATGAGTAATCTTTGTAAAGTTAATTATTTTTAAAAATTGTATAAGTTACATCTACTAAATATAATTATGGTTCGTCGTAATTTTTGTTACTCCTTTTATTTCTAGTTATTTAATTTTGTAAAGAAAGTAAAACTATATTATTCAAAGTAAAATGAAAATGAAACAATAACAAATCCTAAATATTTACATTGTCCACATTTAATATTTATCTATTGTTCAATAGTTAATACGGTTTTCATACTCTGATTGCTTCATATTTATGCCTCTACCCTCGGTTTCGTAATTATTGTATGCCCTTTGGTTGTTTTATATTTATGGTTTTACCCTCAGACTACTTTATGTTTGCCAATTTTCCCATAGTTTGTTTCATAAATAGGGTTTTACCCTCTGCTTAGTGTGAATCTATTTTTTTATCCTTTGACTGTTCAATTTTTGCGTCTTTGCCCTCGGTTTTGCGCTCTAGTTTAATATATATTTGTAATTTAGCTCCTACTTCTATAGACGTACATTTCTTAAATTTACTTTGATAACGTATGTCTCCTTTTTATTATCCTTCAAATCTTCCATCCTATATTATCCGGAAAATTATATACGTTATGTACTAAAAATATCAAACGAAAAAAAGTATGAAGGTTAAATGAAAGGAATATTAAAAAAAAAAAAGAAATTCATATAATGAGGTGATGATGTGTCTACTCGTAGCTAGGGTGGACAGAATAGAGAGACAATGGCAGTGACTGAACGTAAGATAGGGTCATGAAAACAGTTTTAATGGTTCAGCGATGGATAATGTTAGAAGAAGTCTTACTCTAACTTCAGTCGTCTTATTTACTACAAGTCTACTATCCCCTTTTTGGATACTATTTTTTTTCCTAATGGGATATTTAATATTTTAGACCAAACTTTTCTTACAAAAAATGCAACACCTCCACTTTTTCATTTGATAATATAAACCTATTCAAACTTAAACTTACCACCTTGTTATAGTAATTACCTTATCTTTCGTCAACGAACTCTGCCTTCTTCTCTAAACTTCAGAATCAAAAATTATTGTGTGACGTGTTCTCTATATTTCTACAAATTATATGACACAGCATTAATGAAACAAAACAACCAAGATCTTTTCCTTATTCATATATCAACATCTATATCCAAATTAAACAGTTAATAAAGTTTTGACTAGAAGAATCATCCAACTCTAGAAATGGGACTGGTCTTGTGTGGAACCCATAAAATGAACAAACACTTAAATGAGAATAGAGACAATTCAGAATTAATCAACATTATCAATAATGTGTACGTACGAAGGATTGTATTGACTCGTGCTCGTGTCTCACTGTCTCTATAGGGAATAGGGACAAAAGGAGAAGAGTGAGATCATGGAGAGAGATAAAGGCAAATGGTTACTTTCTCTCTGACCATCAACACACTGAATCGACCAGAGCTTACTTCACTACTCTTCCTCTCTGTCTCCATCTTCATAACTCTCTCTGTCCCTCTCTTTCTCTCTCTCTCTCTAGGATTACCCCAAATTTACATCTCTAGCCTTCTATGTATGTTTTCTTTGTATCTCCATTTATGTACACACATTAATTATGTTAAGTCCTCTATACCAAATTTTAACCAAGTTTCCCGATTTACAACAATCAAATAATAAAAAAAAGTCGGTAGAAGGGTTTGATCCATTTAAAATGTTATGAACTAAACCATAGCAGAAAAGTTGGACCAAAACTGAATAGAAATTATTTTTTTTTACGTTTTTATTATTTTAATAAATGAATATCGTAACCAAGCCAAATTTAAAAGACAAAGCATCACAAATCCTTTTGTTTCTTTAATATATACAGATTTTTCTAGAGTATAACTCTAACTAAAATACATTCAAAGAAAATGATTATCGGTCTCACACCTCAATCAACATTAACATATCGTGAAACCAATGGGCAAGAACCGTCTGGCATATGTTATTGCTCTCGAATGTATAAATAATCTTCCTAAGAAAAGCATTGAAGTATGGGCACAATCAATTCCTTCATGTAAGTTATCAAAATATTTAATAATTCAAACCCCCGGAAATTTTGGTTTAATTTGGGGAAATGTCTTGCTGATATAACAAGTATGAATATTTATAATGTAGAATACCATATTTAAAGGTCACGAGGAATACACTTAAATGTGAAGTGGTTTCAAGACAAACATGATTAGATTTTTTGAGTTATCCTATTCCTATGATATGTCTTGTCGGGCTTTGCGTGTCTTATGCCTTTGGGTGTGAAAAATAAATCCCAATTATCTTTATAAAAATTGATCTAAGGTGATGCGATCTTTGAATTACCATAGATATTGGGATTAAAGTTGAATACTAGAAAAATGATTGATATAAAAAAAAAGTCTTACAAAATAAATACATTAAAAACATATGAATCATTGGTTAAAAGTTAAAACATACTTTCATTTGACTTTCATCTTATACATGCTGACATATAATTCGTTAAGGCACAAGAAAGTGTATCCCTTCATTCTAAGCACAGTGTGACATATATCTATAATAGTTAAGTCAAGGTTTATCTCATACATAGCTAACTCAAAAGAATTAGTTAACCACATGATCATCACCTTCTACCTCGTCTTCTCCTGCGTTGGGAGAAATTCACTCACTGGTTCTCTCCTTTACTTAGCCTCAAACCATAACTCTCCCACAAATTCTGATCTCCATCTCCCATGAAGAATGGGAAGCAATTTGTACCAGCCGCCATTGCGCCGCTCGGATTTCCAGCGGTTGCGTTTGCGTTTGATGTTGACGAACATACATTACCATGTTCATTCATCTGATGATGCTGATCATTATCATTATATCCACTTTCTTGATTGTTGTAGATAGGATTTTCATCGTTTCTTGGATAGTACACGCCGCAGCTGGACGAATTCTCCTTCCTTTTCTTGTTGATTTGCTTCTTCTCTTTCCTCATTCCATTGCTTATACATTCCCACTTTTCCTTGCACATCAAGGCACTTCTCTGCTCAAACCCTAACTGAATTAATTTCGCCGCGACTTCCTCCCATAGAAATTCATCCGAGCACCCTCCCAATATCTCTTGAAAAGCCGAGTCCAAGCTTGTTCTTATCTCCATAAGCTTTATGATCTCTTGCTCATTCCAGCAGCTACCACTTCCTTTAATAGAAACGTTGTTAGTCATCGTTTGATCGCTTCCGTTGTCATTCTGATTCTCACTATTTTTTTGGATCTCATTATTACCATTGATCCTCTCTTCTGGGGACGAACATAACGGCTTTATCAACGACTTTCCGGTCAAATACTGCAATGCCTCAATCACCGCAACATCCCTAGCTTCCATCCTCTCCCTCTCTTTAGCCCAAAACAAATGCTCTTTTTCGATCCTCGCAGCTTCAATCTTTCTCCATTCCTCTTCTTTCATCATCCTTTGTTCCTCTTTGTCTTCAATAACCTTTGTCAACTTCTCAAGCCAAACATCTTGCCTCTCTATCAACCTTTTCATGTTCACATCAATGAACTCCTTGATCTTAGCTTTCCAACTCCGTTTTTTCCTTCTACTACTAGAATCATTCCCTTCAGAAGACGAAGTCATCAGCTCCAGCTCGGAGGAGTTGTAGTTGTTAGAAAGACTAAGGCTTTGATGATGAAAACCATGAACACTATCAACGTTATGAATGTTGGACGTTGTTGTGGTAGCGTTCATAGCGGCTTGAGTGTGGAAACCATGAAGAGCATTGCTCATGAACTGTGTGTTGTGATTGGTACAAGAAACCAAGTTGTTGGAGTCACCGTAGAGCGCCTCGAGTTGCCGGAAAAATCTATAGTGTTTACCGTCTTGCCTTCCGGCTTTGCCTTCTTTAGTCTTCCTATAGTATTTGTAAAGGTTCTCAAACTTCTCTCTGCATTTCTTCCCACTCCTTTGGTATCCATGTTCCTCTGACATAATCCTATATGTTAAAAACAAATTGAATAAGAAAGAGTACATTAGTTCATGTTTTTGATTGAAATTTGAAGCAGTGCCCTAATTTTAAAACTAGCTTTGAATCATTGACTGTTCATACGATATTCATATTCATTATTTTCATGCATATATATATATATATGTGTGTGTGTGTTTATGTATATAAATAACATTGTATGGTGTATTTTCTTAGATTAGATATAGTGACCCACATAAAGTTTGTTTTTTTCTAACATACACTGGTTATAACTTTCGGACCAATATTGTTTTCGAGGCTTATACTAGTGGACTAATAGTTTAGCACAAGAACATGTTTCTATGCGTAGTTACACAAAAGAAGAGGGTACATATCTTCAGAAGCTAAGAAAGATGAATCAGAAGTTATCAGTAAAAAAGGAGAAAAATAAATTAATCAAAGTCAAAGAAGAAAATGAATCTTTTTGTTTTACTCTTGTTTATGTTTTACCCTTTTGGGTTTTTAAAGCACCTGGTAGTGTCTTAACTGAAACTGCCAAGGTCTGGTCATTCTCTTGACCAAAACAAAACGACGCCTAAAGAAATTGTATGAAACTGACCACTCTGTAGATACACATCAATATGTGTGTATATTGATCAGCTGAAAAAGTATGTTGAAATTGAGGATACCAAGGGAAGTGTTGAGGTCACATTCTTTCTAGTTATCAATGCAGAAATAAATTAAAAAAGATTAAACTTGTCTTCGGGATTTTCACTTGAAAGGTCTAATATTTAACAAGAAAGCGTATGAAAGGTCAAATCTTTTCAAATCTGAAAGAAAACCCATAAAACAAAATACTCAAAGTTTTTTTTTAAAATATATATTTTTAAAGAAGGAAGCTGTTCAGTGTTCAGCAACAAATGTTATTAATTTCCTCAATTGGAAACTAATTGTTTCCTATATGATTAACTTTAAACTAAGACATTATCAACGAATCAAAGTTATCAAACTCTTGTAGTATGAAGAGGTTTGAGAAATATGCATAAAGTTTTTTTCTCTTTCTCAATGTTTTTACGACAAAAAAAAAACGGAAAATAAAAAGAGAGAGAACGAGATTAGGGTAAAATCGAGAGAGGGTAAGTGAGGCAAACCTAGATACTTCATCCCAGAGAGGTCCTTTTTGATTAGCTTCTTTGAATTTATGATCAAGACGAGATCTAATCTCCAGCAGAGTTAGGGTTTCTTGTCTCGGCCATCTCCCCGTTCCCCCGCCGTCTCCTCCTCCGCCTCCGCCGTAACCTCCTCCGTCGAGAAACCCACTAAACCCAACTCCTCCACCACTAGTGCTCGCGTTTAAGTTACTGTTACTTGCAGCCGTTGAAGAACCCCCACCCAATCCATGTATGCCACGTGGCAAGAAGCCCATCTCCTGATGATCAGCAGTGAACTGATGAAGACGGTGGTGTTGCGGCGGCGCAGCAGGAGCGAGGTTGAAACCGAAAAAATCAGAGGGAAAATGAGAAGAAGTCGACGGTGATGCCGTCGTAATCGTCCTCCCTTCGCCTTTCATGAGCTGCCGGAGCTCCGGTATACCATACTGAGTATGATGATCCTCCATTTTTTGGCTGAATGAGAAGATCGATCGATAGTGAGGGGAGAAAAAAAAAAGTAAAGGTTCAACCTTTTAATTCCAAGAAAAAGGAGAGAAAGGACTAAAGCTTTTTTAGAGAGAGAGAGAGAATGAGAGAGTGTGAGAGAATGAGAGAGAGACAGATCGTGTAGTCCACGAAAAGGGTCGAATGTAAGCTACAGAGACGATATGGTCCCATGAATTAATAAACAATCTTTTTTTTCTTCTTGAATGTGTGTGGGCGAGAGAGAGAGAGAGAAGAGAGATGTATGGATACTAGATACAGATCTTTTTGTATATGATTTTGTATATATCTGTTTCTAATTTGTATCATGTGTCTCAGTTTTCATTATCTCTCTTTATCAAATAATTTGAATACATGTGTGCATTGATGTGTATATATTCATATCAGTGTAAGGTTTTGTCTCACTTAGAGACAATCATAGATCGAGGCCGATCTCTTTTAATTTGGCTCTAGAATTTGGTTTTTCACCTTCAAAACTAAGTTTTAGCTATATGGCTTAAATAGTTATCTGAAGAAACTTGTGTTTGGCTCTCTGTAAATTTTCTTATTAATTATGACTTTTCATTATTTGGGTATTTTTATGAGGATGATTTTACTGCAATTTGCACATGTGACTCCATAATTGATACAACTTTTTTGGAAAACAAAGGGTTGCCTATAAAATTATTCCTTTGATTTGTTAGGCAACATCATTATTTGGCTTCAGCCTCCTGTCTTTCTAGGATTTGTTTTTCATAAAAGTTGGTTTACTGTGAACCCCTAAATAAGTAGATATTTGTTCATTTATATATTTGTAATTCATAGAGAAAGAAATGTCTATATAATCATTAGTGTTTATACAACTGGAATATATATACCACACAAACCAAATTAATATATAATCCTATAAGTTTATACCCTAAAATCAAATTTTTGTTTTTCTTATAAGAAAATTAGATTTATGACGATCCATTTTCATGTTAAAGAGATTCATCTATCTTTTGTTTTACTTTTAAATCTGCGATTCAGCTTTTAAAGCTTCGCATTCCTTTTAAAAAAAGGTTCTTCTGCATACTGAACTTTAAAGATATAATTCGAGAGACATGTGTGTGAATTTATTAGAAATTAAATTGCAATTAAATGGCCGCAATAAGAGGGGGTCCTCTGAAAAATTACCAAATTATTGGCTTTTATGCTCCCCAACATTTCAACCTGTCTAATCCCTAACCATTTGGCTTTATTGTTCCTTTTTGACACTTTTATTGCTTCAATCCTAATGTTCACTACGTTTTTTAATTCCTTCTCAGTAATTCCATTTTTCGGAGTTTATTTCATGAAATTAGAACATTCACATTCAAATTTAATATACATAATTCAAATACTACATTTCAACCGCGATCAAACAATTGGTTATGAATCCATATATCTTTACGCATACCGGAGATAATATATAGAGAACGTCTGTAAGGTGTTAAACCGTAGAAAATTCTCCACTTATTTGTTATCACATGTCATGAACAAATGAATCAGAACTTTTCATTATAAAAAGTTAGTTATGGAGAAAGAAACAAGATTATGAGAAAAACAAAAATAGCAGGAAAAAGAACAAGATTTTATTATATTTTAATGATCAAGACACGTGTCATATTCATAGCCGTATATTACAGGACCCCTAGAAAGTTTACCTTTTATTGACTTGAGATGGGAGACTTCAACAGTTCCTCAGAAGACACGCCTGAAACGATGCCGTTTTCTTCTTCTTTTGCTTTCTTCTTTTTTTTGTTCGAGCTTTCTTTAGTTTATTTGCTATTCTCAGTTTCTTATTTCTTTTATTTAAATAGGACATAAATAAATAATGGATTGCTTCTTTCTTCCATGGCTTGGGGGCAAATAGACAAGTTAGGGTTTGCATTTGTCACCTATCTATTTATTGTTTCATCACCGCCAAATTAATTGACCCCTTAGCTTTTTATTTTTCTTCTCCTTTTGAGTTTCTATCTTTAGTATAAGGAATCTAGTTCTTTGAATTAAAAGTCATTCACCTAGTTAATTTGTTAAGAAAAAAATCGATTTAGATATTTGGAAAATATATTTCACAATTACCTTAGACTATAGTATACAAAACCTAAAAATAAAATAAAATAATACTATTATCAGGGTATTGCTATTAATTCCTTTTTAGCTACCAACAATTCACAATATAATCACATTCTAGTTGTATTGAATTTAATAGTGACACAGAGTCATTCTCCTTCCTCTGAGACAATTCCTTCTTTCTTTCTTTTTTTTCATTGAGGTAATTGATACGAGACACCTCTAGGACACCTAAGTTTTTCAATAAAAAAATGTTTATTATGAAATTATCTATTGTCATTCCATAGTGTTATTTTTATACTAGAGAATAATTTGAACTAGTGTGGACTCAAATAAACTTCTCTCCCATCACAAATTAAAAAGCATATGATGTAACCATATTATAGGAAAAATGAGAAATCTATATAGGAAAATTAAAATTTTACAATTATGAATGCGTATCCTTGAAAAACTTAGGTGTCCTAGAGGTGGCCTATAATTTCCACATCGGCTAGAGACGAAGTAGCATGCTTTTGCGCGAAAGTGAAACTAAAATCTGAACTCTACTAAGATGGGTCGATGTTATGTACACATGCATGCCATAATTTTTCAAATTATATAACATTAATAATTGATAATATGCGGTAGGGCCTTTATTCATTCGTACATCACCATAGTATTCCTACATTGATTATAAATTCGTACTTTACGATAAATAAAATGCATAGCATTCATATGAGGGTACAATTTTTAACTAAAAAATTACTGAACACGAGTTTCAGCAGCTAGTGATGAGATGACACATCCAAACTATGGCTTACTTACGATCAACTTCAATTAACTAAATATACACCGAGTTAATATTTCCTAGATTTACAACATTAGCAACCGGGATTTTATTATATTCTATGATCCTTTTTGATATGAAAGTGTCATGATTCTCGTTAAAGCAACCTTTGGTTTTTATTGAAAAAAGGAAAAGTTGCCTCAACCATGATCTGTTTTATATAATATATTTTTGTTCTATCATTGAAGATCTATCTCTTTAATTTGTTCACAAGATCTATCTTTACATTGTTGTGTATGAATCACTATAATATTCCTCAGCAATCATATCGTTTAAATTTTAAAACTGAAAGACATTCTTCCTCACAAAGTTGTGGACCACGGTATCAAAAATCATGAAGAAATAGGGTTCTTATTTCCAAACAATCAATAGTTTAGTTTACTTAATTAATATTTGACATGCGATAGCTAGATGCCGACAAATTCATAATGATCACTTTGGATTTTTTTTAAAGAATAATAAGTGAAGATGTAATTATTTCTTAGAAAGGAGTCAAGGACAAACAAAAGCAACATATATATATATATATATAGACAATTACAATATAATTTTTCTTTAATGCCTAAAGATATAATATAACGAGGTGTTAACTGGTGTGGAAAGAGAGATGCGCAATCAATTCTTAATATTGCAGAAATACAAAAAAAAAGTTAATTATTAATAAAAGCAGAGTACGTAGAGAGTGATGAAATCATGGACAGTGTATAGTAACTGTAAGAGAAGAAGAGAGAAGAGAGTTCTTAACAAGGGAAACATGCTGAACAGAGGAATCTCAGTCTTGCTCATTCAGTCTTTGTCTTAAGCCCGACAAATAAAATAGAAGAAAACATATTTCTTTATATGTATTTTTTTTTTTGACGTCCTTTAAATTATATGAAAACTTAAAAAACCAATGAAAATAAATAAATTAAAGAGGAAAATTATTAATGAGAGTGTCTGGATCTCAGAGTGGTCAGACCTGATGACTTGCTTTTCACGTAGGTAGACGTTCGATCCATGCAATGTACATACATATACGTATGTTCATATGTACAGGCACAGTGTTTTGTGAAATCCACCATTATTGCTCTCTAACAGTTATTTTATTAATTTTAGATTGGTTGCTAGTACAAGAAGGAACTTTAAGAAGATGAAAAAGAAAACAATTTCATTTTTCTTGTAAATAAGAATTTTTTTTGTAAAACTATAAGAAAAGCTGTAGGGTAAAGCCAAATGGATTTCTTAGAACAAAACACATAGGAGAAAGCTCAATCTCCTAACTCCTAAGATAGAGAAAATGCTGGAACTGATTTGAATAGCCGAACCTAACCCGGAGAAAAATATAAACTGGAAACCATATTTTTAGTCATATTGATTGATCTAACAGAATTTAGTTAACTATAAAAAACTAATTCTATAATTTTTGGTTGTTTTTTCTTAAGGAAAACTAAACCGATGTTAAACCGAACATCGACCCACCAAATCATATGTCTGATTGCGTAAACGGCTAAACGTATCTTTTCCATGCCAACTGGTCCTTCATTTCTCCATGAATGTGATATGTGCCTTTATGAAATTTAAAAATATCATATCATCCAGAATATGAATATGATCGTGAGTAATGCCTTCCTAAATCAAGAGAAAGGCAATAAGACATCGCTCATTTAATTATACGAATGACCCAATAAAAGATGCATATCAGATTACCAGGTGTTGCAGCCTGCAGCAAACGAATTAGCCCAAAATCTCATGTTTCTTCAATGCAGACGTGGCAAATCATGGCACGATTATAACAGATCCTGAGTATTCGTTGTTTTCTCAAGAACGTTTGAGAGAGTTAGCTTAGATGTTTTAAGGTATAAAGTTCTGGAAAACTGCACGATTACTAAATAATAATTTATATGTAGGATACTAGGGTTATATTTGAAATCTACAACTCTTATACTCGTCAAAAATCTCTCTATTACGAACAACTTAAGTATGTCATCTATTTTTTATGAAGCGATGAGGCAATTTTGAAAGAAAAAAAAAAGGGAAAGAAAATTGTATGTATTGGCTTATAGTCGATGTTTGATAAGAGGGGTACATTGATGGATGTCGATAAGAATGTGGGGTCACACACACCAGCTGGATTTTTTTTTTTTTTGGCTTTTTCTTAATTTTAGGTTTTGCCTTTTCCTTTTATAATTCTATTAAGAAAAAAAAAAAAAAACAAGGATGAGAGGAAAAATGGTTTTTATAGTGCGAAGGCCCATGTTGATGGAAGGTTTGAAACGACGGATGCATGCATTTGGGAACCCTGAAAGTATATACTATATACACAATCTGGTATCACAGATTAAGTAATACATACTTTCACACTTAGTAAGTAGATATTTTCCGGAATGTCAATAATAAAGAAAGAGAAGATCTAAAAATGGACGAACGATCAGAAATGCTGATTACATTTTTGGTTAAGGAGTGCTCAATCCCGAATTTGGTTCGGCTTTCGTTTGGATAATACTGTTATTTGGACTTTCTGTACAAATTATCCATTTTGATATGATGATCCATAGTTTCAATTGTGTCATTCGTAGTATTAACAGATTGTGTATTTTCAAATCATATAAGTGATTTTAACGCAACTTTTTCTTTTCTTTTTCAAATAATTATATAATATATGACCCTTTTATAAAAAAAGTTATATAATATTAATATATAAGACAGAAAGGTTAAACAGGGTCTGCCATTAACATCGACCTCAAGAATTAGGTGGAGAAACTCTATATGAAAAGAAAACTGATTTATAAGAAAGGGATTGTGCCGATTTCAAAAGATAAAACGTTAAAATCATAGAAAAGAAGAAAGGCTTCTCTGAAATTTTGAATTTTGATTTAACGGCACGTATGCATATTTGAGAAAAATACCCCTCTCTTTTTCATTGCCCTTTTGAAAAAACAACAAGTTCTTTTAAAGATCCTATCAAGATCTGTCAATAGAATATATTATTTTTCTTTCCTATGAAAGCAATACTCTTTTGAAATAACTACGTACTAGTACTTTGTAACTAATTTTTTCTTACTCCAAAAATTTTATATTTTTTATCGTTTATTGCATCATATTGATCTAATCATATTATAAATGATCATCATTAATGAGTTTTTTTGGGTCTAATTAATGAATTTAATTTTGTAGCATATGCGATCATGCAATAATAATGAATAATGACATTTACGATCTACTTTGTAGTTTTCCTTGCTATGCAAAGATCAACGACATTTGGTTTCAGTTTCACCTACATGGCTATACATCATATCTAAAACAGACAGCTTTCTCGACAATATGCAAAACTTAGACGAATGGTTACATAGAATATTTTAAAATTTCCAGGAACCGAAACTCAAACCTAATATTACAGTTTTTAAATCCTTGATCAGTAAGCTAATGGACTTCTCAACCAAAAAGAATTCATATTGTTACATTTGATGGTTCTTGATAAAAAAAAATGATTTTGATTGATGTCTGAACGTTACCATCTTTTCTTTGCGGTCCTCTACCGCTTTTGATTTTATTTTCTTCTTTGCGGTTCTCTACAGTTTGTCTTCTTCTTCTTTTTTTGTTACAGTTTTTCGTTTAGATAGATGGATACATTGTGATCAAATTGGGTTATACTGTTGTTTTCACGTCATAGCTCATATATGGTAGCGTGATAAAATAAGAAGAATATATAGTTTTATGAGCATTTTGTGATGTAGAATTTAGTCCCTAAAGTCAAACCTCTAGACAAAAAATGCAATAGACTAAATATCTGGTTAGGGAATGATCGATGGACCGTGGTCCGTGATCCCATTTACGGCCCTTAATATTAATAACCCCACTAGTTATACTCATCAGTCATCACTAATTATTCTATTATTATCCAATTTTTTTACAATCACATACCAATCACTGAGAAGTATATAGTAGATTTGTAAAATCAGTGTATATATCAAGGTACCGTTCTTTTCACGGCAAATTTTAGTCACTTGTGAAATTTAGTAAATTTTTTAAAAAACCTTATCATTGCAATACTAATGAAACAATGGCCTAATTCGACTCTTTTAAAAATTATTCCGAAAAAGGTAACATTAAACAATGTGTCAAAGACGAAAGAGGAAAATAATAGTGGAGATGTCTTTTTCTGAAAGATTATGTAGTATATAAACATGAGAACTATAGTTGATTAAAGGCACTTTTTTGACCAATTAATTATATTAAATTATAGATTATATTACGAAAGACATCTTCTCTCTAGACCTGGAAGGCAAAAGAAATCTATGGATATGTAATTACGGAAAAAAATCTATATCTCAGTTCCAGTTCTTATAAACCCACTCTATAACATTTACATTTATATTTGCATGATTTTTTCTTAAGACGAATCTGGAATTTCAATTCTTATCCAAGACTAAAATTTATTCAATCTTAATCCAGATTTTATTACGAGTAATTGAAAAAAAAAAGTTGCTAATCTAGTGAATAGTTCAGTTTGTCGATGACGAAGATCCACCTGCTTGACAAATATGATTTAAATAAGTTAAAGTTTATAATCTGACAACAGTGGACCACACAATTACTTTGGGATCGATAAAATTCTTGTTATGGGAAAATATTATGTAATAATAGTTATATCATTGGGGTATTCAGTATTGGCCCAATCAGTGTGTTATTATTTATTTATTTTTGTTATATTTTTTTATACTGTACACATATCATCTTTGAGACTTTCGGAAACAAGGAAGGAAAACAATATAAAACGTATTCTTGGGCCTTATGGGCCTTTTGGGCCGTACATAGCAGACCAAATGTATTTTATTTGGCCCATAAGTATATTTTTACTCACGACGAATGACGACGATTATGGGATTTGCTGCTTTGCATCTGTTTGAATCAATTTTACATTTCGATCGGAATTTTCTCTAATTTAGTAAATTTGTCAACTACAACTACTGATTTAGAACCCATCAGGGTCAAAACCCGACCCGAGAGATATGATAACTTCACCGATCGTATGAATTTCTCATTTCTCATAAGGAAATTACAAAAAATCTTAATACTCTCTCATCAAGCAAAACTTTTACATACACCCACTTAGTTGTCATTACTTGTGACGGAAGCTACCCTGAATATCAAACCGATCACCGATCTCCGCCAATGTATTCTGATAATTCTTCAACCAAATCCTCAAAAATCTCAAACTCGATATCCAAAACCGCCTCTGCGACTTCTGCAGCGTTCTTTGATCTCCATGATCCCAAACTCTCTGTTCTGAAATCATGTTCGACCATCATATCGATTGTGTTCGACTCCACATCTCTCCAAGATCTCAATTTCTCGCATACCCTTTTGCCTACTTGAGCTTCACCGTCTTGCAAAACGTTGTCGTTTGGCAATGGCAATTCCTCTGCCACAAGGTCTGAGATCAATGCTTCTATGCCTTCGGGAACTTCTGTCATATCTTCAAAGTACGTTTTAAGAACTCTCTGTGTTATAATCTCACAATGATAAAGATTCTTCATCTCTTCTTCTTCTTCTTCTTCTTCCCTCTCCTCCTTGATCTCTTGGTCTGACATTCTTTTCTCGAGTTCCATGGGATCCAAACCCGCCAGTTGCTCGAATCTACAGAGCTTCTGTAGAAGCAGATGCTTTGCTTCTGTAAATCGAGATCCAAGCATCATCAGTCTAAATGATCGAACTTGTGAGAAATCAAAGGCGAATAAACAATGTTTTATTTCATACAAAGTCCCAAATTAAACCTACAAAAATAGTATGAGAAAAGGAAATCTACCTATTTAACAAACCGGAAATATACACAAAATGCTAACTTTCCGAAATCTCTAAAAGAACTTGTCACAACCAAAACTGTCAGTGAGACACTTTACCAAACACTATGCGTGAACTAACATGCACATGTCACTATAACAACACTATTCGTGACACTATAAATGTTCACTGAGACATTTTAACAAACACTGTTCTGTTTCGAAAACATATCTTCAGTACAACGGATCCAACAGTTTTTAAACCATGTAATATAGAACAATAAATGAGTAGGGTAAAGTATATGATCCGAAAATATCCGAATTAAATGAAAGAAAGATGAATATTTAAGACAAAAGAGTGGTTCGAAAAAAGCGTACTTTGTACAGATCTGAAGCTGGAAGTGATGTTATTGTCATCCATGTGAATGTCTTCGTCATCGTCCTGAAATGGAGGGTCCAAAACTGAAACTGGGCTGCTCTGTTCCTTATCTTCTTCTTCTTCTTCCATTTCTAGTTTCTTTAGCTTCTCTACTTCATAATTCTCTTTCTTCATCTGTTATATACAGAATTAAGTAGTTAGATCAAAAGAAAAGTAATTACTTAATATTAGATTCTAACTTGACTGATTATTTTAGATTCGTGGAAACGCACAGACAGTGACAAAATTTTGGACTCTATTGCTAAATAATTTTTGTAGAAAAAAACCAAAAAAACAAAAATATGAGAGAGAGATTTGCATGTCAGAGACAAAGATCGTCTTTGTTTTCAACAACACATAAGGCTGAGTTAATTTTCGAAAAGACGAATAATGCTTTTGTCTTCAACTGTTCTTACTCTTCGAAAAGAGCCAACTGATGAGTTTTCGGGGTATTTTTGTCATTTACTGTAATCATTCTTACTTTGCCACTAATTCAAACGAGTCAAACTAGTCATTAATTAACTTCTAGACTACTATTTTTGGAAAATATCTCACACATTTCAAATGTAATAGACTAATAACACCAACGACAAAAAAAAGGGGACTAATAACACCAATGCGTTTCATGATTAGTAAATTATTATGTACATCAATTATGTATTTTTTTTTTCATTTTCGATTCCTACCCAACGAATATGATCAATAATGTAATCATTATTAATTGAGAAAGAGACAAACCTCTTGACAATCGTGGCGTGGAGAAGCCGCGGGCGACGAGAAATTCGGCGTTCTGAAACCGCGAGGGGAAGGCGTAGTTTGGAGAACAAAATGAAACGGACTTTCACCAAAACGTTTATCCTCCGAAAAATCTGGACCGTTCATCAACCCACACGCAAACTCATCTAAACCGTCCGATCGGCTGCTGGAGCTAATGGACGTTTCGAAATCGCAGTCCCAAGATCCCTCTCCGTTGGTAACACTCTCTGACCAAACGCCACTACTACTAGACCTCCTTGAGAACTGCGTCTCCGACGCGATTTTCTGCGTTTGGGAGGAGTTTCCTTCTTCTTTGCGTTTTGATTTTCTTGTGACTATTTTACGAACAACAGGAGATTCCCATCTCAACATATCTTTCACCGAAGAAACCTCTTTGCCGCCGCTGATTTCGCGTTTCTTCCGATGCGTCAGCTTCTTTAACACTGAACCGAATATCCCAAACGCGTTTCCTGCGTTCCGCGTCCTCGTTTTCGACCCCTCCGACGACGACTGTTTCTGTATCCTAACCGCAGCTTCTAGTAGAATCGAAGCGGTCCTGGCAGGTATATTTAGGAAAATCGCGTTTTGTCTCCGATTCGGAGACTTGAGTTCGAAGAGTGGAGATCTCTTAGGGTCAGGGGATTCACGTAGGGAGAAGAAACAAGCGTTGCGGCAGAACCGCGAAGGAAGCCCGGCGTTTTGAGAGATGGGTCTGCGTTTCTTGACCTGTAAATGCGTTACCGGAGGATTGATTTGGCAACGCCGATCGGAGATGTAGCTCTGAAGCTGAAACGGCTCCTGATCTTCCTCTAGAAGATCCTTTAGTTGTCTCTGAGACGCCATTTTATCAAATTCCAACAACAACAAAAACAGAGTAGAACAAAGAGCAATACTTTTCGTGAGTTTCTATTCAAAGGTTTCAATTTGGAATTAAAGAGAGCTTTTTTCGAACTCTTCTAGAGAGAGAGAGGTAGATAGATGGTGATGGTGATTCAAAAATTGTGGATGGTTTAGAAGATCGAGGTAAGGGCTAAGTAAATAGTTGTAGGTAGGAAGAAACAAAATAAAATTATAAAATTATTATTTTAGTCTAGTTTTTTGCTTGTTAATGGGTGATTTAAGAGCACACCAACAAAAATATAATATTTTAAATTAACCTCAACGTTATAGCCATTTTCCAACGGGGAACAAAAAATATTTATTTAATCGAATTGGTCCCCTTTATATTTAATTGCTCTCCGTTGTTTTATTATTTTCATGCACGCAATTTATTTCCCCTCTAGTTATTCTCTCCTCTTTAGATTTTGATGAGTAACAAATTTCTGTTTATATTTCATCTCCGTATGTTTTATAGAAATAGTAAGAAAAAGAACTAACGGTCAATAACAGCATCGAATAGTTGTTTTCGGTTTTCACATTTCCGTGAAACTATGTTCTTTTTCCTCCAAAGGCAAAAGCGTTGACGATCTCAAAGAGGGAAAGATTAGACCAAAAAAGAAGGAAAGAGATAAAAAAAAAAAAAAAAAAAAAAAAGAAGAAGAAGAAGAGGAATAATTAGGGTTAACTAAAAGAAATCATGAGAAAAATGAATACAAAACGACAAAAGGGAGAAACACGCATGCCCAATTTATTGTAGGAACTGGATATTGACTCCATCCACTTTTTTGACGACCCTTTTCTCACCAGTCACCACCTCCATACTATTATCTCTTTTTTTTCCTTTGATCTCTTTGTTTATTCATTAGTGAAATTATGTATTTTGAAACTTCACATAAAAATTATTGTAATTAGACTAACTGTTGTTTTAAAGTTGCAAGACCCTCTTCCACTTATATCTGGATCTCAACTTATTGAGAATGATAACTGAAAATAGTTTGATCTTTTAGAAAAAAAGGTTCATTACCACATGAAACAATTTTCTGCAAGGGAAATTCAAATTTTTACAATTCGAAATGGAACAGAAAAAAGCGTTTACAATGCTCCTCGTGCGTAGAGATTCAGTAAAAAGGACACGGTACGACATTTTATTGCTGTCATCTGATTGGTTACCATACACAAACTCATCAACTTTAATTTAAAACAAAAAACTTTTTGTAACTTTTGGTTTTTGAAAAGAAGTAATTATGATTGTGTTTCTGAGAATGGTAATTTTAATAAAGTTGATTACAGATATTTCCTTATATAGTTCCCAGATATGTATTTAGGTCAGAGCAACGCGTGCCTTGTTTTCTTTCCTTCAATCACTTTCTGCTTCTAGTGGTGGGGTGGGGCTCTTATAAAATCGAATTTATTTGAAAGATTTTTTCAGAGTGAAAGTTTTATAGGTTAAATAGTATGATGTATTTTCACAAAAATATGTCTTCTTTGTGAGTATATGTTTTTGATTGATCAGAACCTTTGAATGACGCAATAGTAAAATCATTACGTAATTCTAATTTCTAAATATGTTGTTTTCCTATCAAACAGCTTTGCAAAATCATTTTTTGTTCATTTATCATACCGTTCCGTTAATTGAGAAGCAACACAAACTGTGATTTAAATTTCCTTACTGACTTTATAATTAATTTTTTTATAGAATAAAATGATTTTTATGATAATTTCTTTAACGTATAGCAATATTCGTATTTATTGTATGATGTGGCTGAAGGGAAGTTTTACGTACATATACATGATAAGCCATATATATTGACAGAAAATAACTAAGTTCATTGTGTTCTATCAGTAATTTTAATACTGCATAAATTAGTCTCCGAAAATTTAAATGGCATTTGTATGATTTCTAATTCAGTAAAAATTTTTTTGCCATATATAGTAACAGGATATGGATGAATATTTGTTGTTGTCGAAAAACAGAATAATGATTTTAATTAAAAAATTGAAAATTGATTCCAACATGTCACAAAGTTGTAGTAATAAATAGTTACCCACCAACAGATTGCCAGACTGGTGATAATCTCAAACTCAAAATATTTAGCTAAAGCTGCATCACGATGTCTACAGTCTACCGACGTCTGATTCATTGACCACCGATTTTGCAGCTTGTATGCTTATATTAATGTTAAAATTGTTTTGAAGATCGGATTAATATGATAGGAGAAACTGCATGGATCAATGTTTTTTGTTGGCATATCTAACATCAAAACATTAGGTTAATTATTATATGTTAAAAATTATTTTAAAGGAATAAGATTTTACTGTATGGAGCCATTGGGTGTGCGTGAAATGGTCCAGCTTTTCATAATGGTCTCTCAGATTCGCATTAATAAATTTAAATTTATGGTAATAAACACGTTTTAACTACCCAAGAAAATCTGAGATAAGCGAATTCCCATATCATAGAAAAACAAAAGTATTTTTTACAAGTTGGTAGAATCCTAGGCAGGAAATAAACTTTGTCATAAATATTACTCCAAAAAAAGCCGATCAATTCATTGTATGGTAGTCGACGATTTGTATGTGGCTCGAGGATAGAGTTGAAGTATTCCCATCACATCGTTCTGGCTTAAATTGCAACACAATTAATTTCAAATAAAGACAATTATTTCAAATAACTTTTATTGACAAGTAATTATTTTTGAGATATTTTCCAAAATTAATAATTCTGAGTTAAGTGACTTGTAACAAAATCTATTAGTTTTATTTTCTTACAGTTACAGCAGCAAACCAAGCGATGCCGGAATAAATTCATTTAATTATATACCATTTCCATATGTTTGGTGCGTTCTTTTTGTATTATACTATAATGAACGAAATCATTTCTGTAAAAAAATGAAACAAAAATAGCCCATAAAAACACAGCAAAGAAATGTGCAGACTCACCGTGGCTTAGATAATTCATCACACTTACGATACAATGATTAAAAAGAAGTTGTGGATAATGATATGAAAACTAATTATCTTTTTTCCTCAAAAGAGATTCTGAGTCTTACACAGTCACTGCCACCCCAAAAGTTTGTTTCGTAATTCTTTTTCTTAAGTAATTAATTAAATTTTAACATATGACTACGTTCCATGTAAGACTATTAACATATGATAACGTTCCATATAAGACTATTAACTACCGGAGTATTAAGTGAAAAAATGATATAAACACTCTCTAACCATTTGTAACTGTGGATGGGAATGAAAAGTTCAAATTATCGTTTCCATGATAACTGTTACGAATGTGCATGGAATAAAAACCTTACACTTAGTGTTTTGGTGTCACCACATGAGTTTTGCTTTCTTTGTAAATGGAGTCAGATTTTGATAATTTGTCTACTGTGAGCTGCAAGAAAAGTATTATGAAGATTTAACCAATCGCAATCTCATGTAAATCTAGCTATAAAATGAAATGTAAAATACATGGCAGTGGATTGGGAGAGTTAAAGAACAATTTACGTCACTTTCTTTCTATTAACGTATCAAGATAAGAATGTTTACGACCTCACTGACTATCTCTTTATTGGCGTGATGATCAACTTTTAGATTGGGTCACGATCACAACCTTTTTCTAGGTTATATGATAATCAAACTTGAAATGATTAGTGATTGTGGGGAAATATATATCAATATACATATATATATATATCACTTATAACATAGGTTGGTATGTTAAACTACAAATACATAAGATAGACAGGCACATTCCTACCTTGTTTAACAAAAAGAAATCCTACTTATTATTTTGTGTTTAGCTGGCATCGACAACGACATTTGTATGATTGAGACACTTTACTAGAAAGCAACTCATTAATTATGAGACCAGTGTTTGAAGACAGTTTATAATTTACACATAACTCGTGGAAAGTTATGGCCACAAGAAACTAGGATGAGTTTAAAACTTCCTAATTAAAGGTTAAACAAAGTCAAAAGCAATTTTCGACCAAAAAAGAAAGGAAAAGTAAAAAGCATTCGATAATATGTAACTCGATTAATTATACAGATTAAGTAACTCAAACACAAATTGCTTACATATAATTACTGTAAAAATTACACATCCCTGTGCCCAAGTGACTAAAATCCAGATATAGATTTAGAAATATGGGAGATGATCGGAGTGGTAGGGAACTATGGGTTTTAATCACACGACCCTATTAATTAAGGATTGGTAGTCAAGTCAGATAGTAAAATCCCGACAACATCTCAAACGACAATAATGGATATAACTAATAGATCGAACTTATTTTATCTCAAAAACTAAGTAATTAGGTATAAGTTATAACACTAATGTATCAGTTATAAACTTAACCTGTGAAGTTTTTTTTTTTTTAAATAATCATCTGTGTATTTAGGTAAAGGTTGGTGCTCTCAGTGGTTGGTGTTTGGCTGTTTGGCGAGTGGTTTCTCAATAGTCTTCTTGTTTTCACATGTCAAGACAAACTTAGGACATACTAAAATTTTATATTGTTTTTCATTTGTCATGACGTTATTTTATAACTTTGGGCTCTCAATTATTAGTCTAATCACATGATTAATTTAGTCCTATATTCAACTTATTTGGTACATGCCGGGTAAAACCATTCCGAATGACATTTGGTATGAATAATCAAACTGACGATAAATTAGTCACACAGATGTATTACTGCGCCAGCAACTGTTAAAAAAAAAAAAAGATTGAGTCCAAAAGCCATAGAACATGTTTTTCCCCCGCATTGGAACATGTTTAACGAAAGCGAATTTCTTTTGATAAACACCATTTAAATTAATCATAATTTTTTATAAAAAAATATAAATCGGTGCAATTTGAAATATCCCTGTAATCGGTGTGACTGTATCTCAGCCACTCAAATTTCATTACTTTTTTTGCCCCGAGATCAACCATCCATTAGGAATTTAGGATTCAATCTGATGGTAACAATAAATTACATAGGTTGAAAAAAAAAATTACATAGTAAAATGTAAAATTTATTGGTTATCGTAACAATAATATTGTTAAAAATTTCATATGTCAAAATAACATTATAATTCAATCAAAATAAATTACGTAGATTATTCGATCC